GGCTTGGTCAAACCACCCTCTGCAACTTGACCAAAACATGCAAGAGCAATTGAGGAATACATATAGAAAGCAAATCATAAAATTGTAGAATTGGAAAGGACCACAAGGCCCATTGAGCCCAATTCCCTGCAATGCAGGAATATTTTGCCCAGTGTAGGCCTTGACTCCATGATGCTGAGAATGCATCAGAATATTTCATGATTCTGACCAATGGCAGAGTGGAGTACTATGGCGCCCTGTGCACAGCCAAAATTTGGTGAGCACACATAGGTTTTGCTCTTCCTTCCCAAAGGTGAGTAAGAAGGTGTCTGGCTTTGGGAAGAAGGAATGAGGACTCTGGCAGTGTTAGACAGCTCTCCCACCTCCTTCCCAAAGCTGGGAAGGCACTAAGTAGACTTTGGGAAGGAGGTGGGAAGACTCTCTGACCTGTCAGAGCCCCCACACCTCCTTCCCAAAGCCCAGCACCTCGCTTAGCGGGCTTTGAGATGGCGCCCCCTCTCTTCAGCACCCAGTGTACGTGCAGCGCTCGCACAGCCCTAAATCCACCCCTGTTCTGACAATGAAAATGTTTTTATGTACACAGTAGCGTAAAGGCTGCAGACACAACTGAAATGCCACCATTTCCCCGCAGATAATCTAAACGTCTCTGTTCTGTTATCTCCAGCTATGACACATCAGCTGACGTCTAGATATGGTTACTTGCACAAATCGGTTCTCCTGAGTTCAGTGAGACTTACTTCAGAGCTAACTTTTAATTAATGAGACGTTGTTTGTCACTGAACAAAAAGGCTTGTTTTATACATTAGCTTGCTTGTGTTTTGTAAAGATACTTGTAGGCTGCTACAAGTATCTTTACAAAAAAAGATACACATAGAAAAAAAATATAGTTTTCTGTGCAAGATAAATCTAGTATGCACAGATATTTTTGAGTTTAATTTGGAATCTCACAAAAAGTGAACAAGAGAATTCTAGAAGGACTTTGGTTCCCCCCTTTCTCCCTAATAAAAGGTGGGATCTCTTGAGTTTTATTATGGGGGGGGAGAGATAAGCCTGGCTTCTGTGCAGCGTGACTTTGTATGTCTGAACCAGCAAAGAACCTTTGAAGAGCTCCTGCTTGTTAATTCTCCCATTTGTTTGATTTTTGGTACAAAGAAAATGAAAAGAATATGATGAGATTATGGCGTTTTAAGTCAATATTTATTAAAAAATCAATCTCGATGAAAATCTGGCCATCCCTCTAATTAGACGAGGCAACTTGAGGTTGATTTTTAATTGCAAAAGTAATTACACGGAGCAGATAGCCAGTGACATTTGATTATCTAGGTGATTGATTAAAAAGCCTAGCTCATGGAGCAGATTGTCAGCCAGGGGAATCGAGACAAAAGAGCAAATTAAAAAAGTTGTCCTGTTGGTAATCACAAAATTCAAGGATGAAATTACAAAGCCAAACACCTCCAGTGCTCCTCATCAAACACAGCGTGCTTCAGCCTGGGAGGAATGGATTGCTTTAAAGGCAATTGCGGGAGCATAAAAATGGAGGTGTAACATCGCAGCTGGCGAAAGGGGAATTGAGCCGCTGGAATGAATGTTGAAATAAAGATGCATCTGAGTTCTAATAAAAAGTTTCTTTTCAATACACTCCCATTTAAGTCCATTTACTGCCATCAATATTACTTAAATGGGTGGCAGAGTTGGTGTGGAATGCACATGTCAGATGCAGCAGTTTTCTTATTTTATTTTATTTTTTAAAGTGAGCAAACAGTTTTCATCACCATTATTCAGGGTGCCAACTTACCAAGAAAATAAAAATGTGGCCTGATTTTGTGCATTAAACAGTAATCTTAGCAGCAGAAACTGGAAGCTGGTGAATTGCACTGCATGGGTATTCACTGAGTGGTATTCAGAGCAGAACCACTGGATTTAATGGGCCTAACTTAATTGTGTTCATTAATTTCAGTGGGTTTACTCTAAGTAAGACTTAGTTGAATATCACTCTCAGAATATTCAACCCCCAGTGTCTTATAAGTGGCCACTTTGGCTACAGGAACCTTTGATTGACATCAAAGCAACCAGAGAATGTGGAAGCTTAAATGTTTTCCTGTGATATCTCTGTTATGTTATGCACCACAATATCTTCCTTACAGGGTATTGAAAGTCAGAGGGCAACAAATGGAAAGTAGCAATGCAATCGTATACAGTGGTACCTCGGGTTACAAACACCTCGGGTTACAGACTCCGCTAACCTGGAAGTAGTACCTCGGGTTAAGAACTTTACCTCAGGATGAGAACAGAAATCGTGTGGTGGCGGCTGGGCAGCTGCAGGAGGCCCCATTAGCTAAAGTGGTACCTCAGGTTAAGAACAGTTTCAGGTTAAGAATTAAGTTTGTAACCAGAGGTACCACTGTACATGTTTACTCATAGACCTCGCTGAACACTTTTGTTCAATCCTATAACTGGGTGTAGGATTGCAGGCTACTGTTGATCAAATTGTCCCACTGAGACAAAGGAGAAGGAAATATCCATAGCCTTTTAACTGGACCCCATAGCACAAGGGTGAGAAACCTGTAGACCTCCAGATGTTCGGAAGATGCATTTCAACTAAGACAGATAGAGGTAGAGGACCATTCCAGTGTGTATTTAAGTTCCTGTTGACCCAGGGGTAACTGTGCTCTCTCCATATTTTTTCTAACTCCAGCTTCCACAGCATGGTCAGGGATGATGGGAGTTGTAGTCCATCAACACCAGGGAGATGCATGTTTCCCAGCCCTGCAATAAGACTTCCTTGCCACAGCACTGGAGAGCCGGTGTGGTGTAGTGGTTAGAGCAGTGTTTCCGAACCTTGGGTCCTCAGCTGTTGTCAGACTACAGTTCCCATCATCCCTGACCACTGGTCTTGCTAGCTAGAGATGATGGGAGTTGTAGTCCAGAAACAGTTGGGAAACACTGGGTTAGAGTGTTGGACCAAATCCCATCTCAGCCAGGTGGCTTTGAGTCAGTCATTCTTCCAGTCTAAACCAACTAAACAGGGTTATTGTGCGGCTAAAAAGGAGTGTGGCAACCATATTGGTCTCCTTGTGAGCTATAATCCTGGAGGGCCACAAGGTTCCTTAGTCCTGTTATAGTTTTGGAAGGTATTTAAGGAGAACTGAATTGACCTCACCCCAACCCTGGCCACCAAATCCCTAACTGTCACTTTGTCTCCCAGCTAAGCCTACCCTGGAAACTATAGTGTTGTCATGGATCTGGGGCACCAGAGTCTGTTAGTGAATGATGGAAATTAATAAATGGTAGTATACTAAATAGAAAGAGGCAATATACATCCTCCTTCCACAGTACCAATTTGTAATTGGGGGGGGGGGAACCCCGACGGAAAATACCTATAGGATTTAAATATATTTATGGAAACCAGCACTCAGCAAAGTCAATAAATAATGTGGTTGACTGAATGACAAGAATAATCAATTTTAAAGGGGGTGAAATGCACTGCACAATTACAACTGGGCATCCTGCCATGAAAGCAAAAATGCGATCAAATTAAAAACAAACATTTTTTTTCTTTTTTAAAAAAGACCTTAAACCCATCAACTTTTGTTAAAGTGAGTCCCAGTTAGAACAACTATAAATTACTTGCATACAGAACATCAGAGAGGAAAATGGCTAAATGATTCTTGCTGCGACTATTATAAAAATAAATAATAGCACCATTTGCTAGTTTACTTGTGAGTAATGCCACCGTATTTCTGCCTTTTTCCTTAGGAAGATAAAAGCTTTCACAGCCACAGCGACAACGACAGAAAGGAAACCTTTTAGATTCATTGTCTGTAAAACCAGAAAGACTCTATAAATCTCATCCTCTTAGAAGAATATTGAGGCTGCTGGGAGAACGCAAGCCATTCAGGTAGGCAAAATGGAACCAGCGGTTTTCTTCAGCAGAGAAAGCAGCATATAGAATCAAAGGGTTGCACCTGGCAGAGTCAGAGCCGACCCACTAAAATCAAGCAGCGTGACTAAGAAGATTTCAATGGGTTTTACTCTGATCATGACTTCGTTGAATGCATGCCATCAGATTTTAGAACTGGCACCTCAGAGGTCATCTAGTCTAGGCCCCATTTGGTGTAGAAAACTTGCAACTGCGGCATGTTTGACAGATGCTGATTCTGCTTAAATGCCTCCATTTCCCCAGGCTGACTATGCCACTCTCAAGCAGTACATTTTATGTATTTTTTGTGGTTTTACATTGCAAATAACCCTGTGATCCTTGGGTGAACGGTGGTATAGACATGTAATAAATAAACTACATTAACTAACTAAATAAAATACTATCATTAGGGATGAGGGGGAAATTCTATTTGGTTTGCATTTAGAGGCAAGCCTAGATAATGGAAGCTGCCCAGAGTGGCTGGGGAAACCCAGCTAGATGGGTGGGGTATCATCATCATCAGCATTTGTACTTTCCAAAACAATACGAGACCTGAAACACTGCCACCTTTCCATATTGAAAGTTCTTAGAATTTTGCAACATAGTTCTGTGTACATTACTGTGTCAAGTATTGTGTACCAAAACACATAAAGTGCAGCAAAATGTCCCTTCATATGTGTATGGTAGGGAAAATAGCATACAATTTTTTTTGCTATATTAGAGGAAAATCTTATTAGGCAAAATCACATAGAAACATCCGTCTGTTATGAAAAATCTGCAGCAAAATGCTGACTAATTTTCAAGCAGACCTCCTTTTTAAAAACATTTCAAACTGATGTGGAAATGTAGAGAACCTTTTTGAAGATTGGGAAAATAAGAACCTTGCCCATCCCAATTTTCATTAGGATGTTTCTGATAACATTTAGCTGAAATCTGCTTCCTTGCAGTTTTCAGTCATTGGCTTGAGTCCAGCCTTCTGGAGCAACTGAGAACAAGTCTGCTCTTATTTTCTCATTCCATGTTCTTATTTTGGGGTGAGGTGGTGCCATTGATTCAGCAGCTGCCTTCAGCAGGGATACTGGGATAGCTCAGTCATCAGAGCTTGAGACTCTTAATCCCAAGGTCGTGGGTTCAAGCCCCACGTTGGGCAAATGATTCCTGCGTTGCAGGGTGTTGGTCTAGATGACTCTCGTGGTCCCTCCCCACTCTACAATTCTTTGTTGTTGTTGTTGTTGTTTAGTCGTTTAGTTGTGTCCGAGTTGGCGGTGAGGTGCATGTGTATATATGTATGTTCTTGTGCATGCAGAAACCTGGGTCTATCAGTAAAACAGAACTAGGCCAAAGTAAAGTAACCCCTTCAGAACACTATAGTGCTGATCTGAGTCACATCCACGCCTCCACCTCCCCAATATTCAGTTTAATAAATGAATAATTTGTTGTTGTTGTTTATTCATTTAGTCGTGTCCAACTCTTCGTGACCCCATGGACCAGAGAATGCCAGGCACCTCTGTCCTCCACTGCCTCCCGCAGTTTGGTCAAACTCATGCTGGTAACCTCGAAAACACTATCCAACCATCTTGTCCTCTGTTGCCCCCTTCTCCATGTGCCCTCCATCTTTCCCAACATCAGGGTCTTTTCCAGGGAGTCTTCTCTTCTCATGAGGTGGCCAAAGTATTGGAGCCTCAGCTTCACGATCTGTCCTTCCAGTGAGCACTCAGGGCTGATGTCCTTTCTATTATTCTACTTCTGGCCTCCGCAGGATTTTAAAAGAGCAGTTGTTGGGCTGACCCACCACAAAGACCTATTTATTTGTTTCATTTATATCCTCCTTATTGCTCCATGGAGCTCAAAGCAGTGTACATGGGCCTTCCACTGTCACCCTGCTTTATCCCTTCCACAACCCTGTGGAGTAAGTTGGATAGAGAGTTGGCAACTGGCCCAAGTTCACCCAGTGAACTTCATTCCCCAGGTTTGTGGAATCTGAATCAACATGAGATTGCATTAGCTCTGATCTTAAGGGTGTGCTCACACCAGAACCACTCCGAGGGTCAGATTCATTTCTGTTTGTGTACATACCCGTGGAAGCAGGGATGTCTTTACATTATGCAGCTGAATTAGAAACAGCTTAAGGACTCCAGTCAGTGTGAAGCAACTTATCAAACAGTGGCATTTCATAACAAAGTGCATGTGCATTTTGGAGAGAGGATAACATCATGCAACTTAAAAAGGAAGAAATGGATGTCCTCACTGAAACAGAACAAAATGAGGAAACCTTAATTTCTTAGAGAACCTCTGTAAGATGTGAACTTGAGGAGTGAAAACTTAAGCCAAAGCTTAATTATAAATTCCTGCATGGCTTTGTGGTCTGTCCAAAAAAATGTTACATGCTTGCGGTGGTGGCGATCAGTATCCAAAGGTGCTGTAAGAACTGGCCCTATGCTTTGCAGCTTATTTATCATTTGGGTGCAGGAATTTAAATCAATGGGGGATGCCTTTCTTTCTTAGAAAAGCCCTTACAGTTACGATAGGAGGGCCAGGCAGAGCAAACAAGCTGTGTATACAGCAGAGCCAAAGATGAAAGGCATGAAGCTGCCCCTTCCATGGTCAGAAATTCTTATCTGGTGACTGAACCTTTGTTGGTTTCTGAAAGCAGAAGTGGTCTGTGTTGGCGGAAGGTTCAAAGCTAGGCTATATATATATATATATATATATATATATATATATGAAGATAATGCAATCAAAAGTATGTCTATCTGTTGAAATATTTAGAAGAACAAGATATCGCTTCGACCTCCTTACACCTGTGACCCTTTTGAAAGGCTTCAAGGCAAGCTTTGGGTCTGTTTATGTTCTTTATCTTAAATGGGCTTCTGTATTTTTATTTTTTTTAATGTTGTAATGAAAAGATTAAGATTTGTTGAGTCCTTTGAGCATGGAGAAGGCTATGATTTGACTCAATATTTTTAAACATTCAGGGAGTGTCTAAATATATTTAAACATTCAGGGAGGACACCGATCTTGTCCTTCCTGAATGTAAAAGTAAAACAAAAGGAACTCTGAAGCCACAGGAGAAGTATGAAAACTGCAGCAAGCCCAAATTTGCTGCACCAGTACAACAGGCAATATCTCCTGCTCTCCTACTAAAAACATAACAAGAGCCCTGCTGGATCAGAGGTATACTGTCTCCATCAGTAGGAGTAGCAAGCTGACTGGCTGCTTTGCTGGTTCGGGTTCATGTGCTGTCATCTGGATCTAGACACATCAAAGAAGTGCTTCAGTTAAACATGTTGTAAACTTTGTATGAAAAATCGGGTTGGCCAAAACGGAACTCCACAGCGCCATCTGATGTCACAATGTTATAATGCATATAAAATGCATATAAAGCACTTTTTCTTTGCCAGTGTAGCTGAGTCCCCAATGACAGAATTATAGAGTTGGAAGAGACCCCAAGGGTCATCTAGTCCAACACTCTGCAGTGCAGGAATCTCAAGACACAATCCCCCATCCAATTTGAAATCATTCTGCACTCTGTTTAGCTTTGCAGTTTAATTGCTGCACTAGGCATGCTCATTGAATTTTCAGTTGGTCTTTAGACTTCGAAGTAGAGAAACACTATAGATACAGGCTTAAGCATCTTTCAAGTGCTGTGGTTGCTGTTCTGAACTGTTGATAACCTAGGAAACAAGATGTGTTCACTGAAGCTGGTGGTTGAAGTTGCCCCCACTAAGGTCTCACAGCTGAAACCCAGATCCCCCTGTCCCTGTTCCTCCCCCCTCCTCCAAGGGGGTCATGTGTCCACCTTTGCAGAGGAAAGTCCTCTAAAGGGATGGTCTTCTGTTTATGATGGTGTCCTCTGTTTGAAGGGCTGTCTAGGCCAAGTCTATTTTAAAGATAAGGAACCCCAAGAAAGGAGAGCATTGGGGTAGGGGGAATTTGAAGTTGCCCATCAATGCAGAGCAGCTGGGTAGCAGAAATATCAGGCACACAGCCTCCCCTGGTCACAATTCTATTTCTATTTAAACCATGGTCATCGTTTCTAAAATTGCATCTATGCATATAAATTTGTGTGCTTTAAAAAACAAACAAACACAAATTGATGTCATGTGTGGAGGGCAATGCATTGGTTGCCCACCTTATTGCTGTTGTTGCCTGTTTGCTGGCCCTGCCAAGTTAGTGAGCAGTGTTCACTAGCTGTGTCTTCTTCTGGGCAGTGTGTGGATTAGGTCTAATGGGCAGGCAACAGGCAGTGGTGAGAGAGGCAAGGAGGCAGGACTACTGATGGCATCTTGCTCAAGCCCCACCTCCATCACCATCTGTAGTTGACACTGCACCCACACACTTCCAGAAACCTGGGGGAGAGGGCAGACACTGAAAAATGAGAAGTCTCACAATTCACGTTCAAATCTGACCAAGGCAAGGATGAAGCAGTGGTAGAACATATGCTTTGCATCCAGAAGGGCCCAGGTTTCTCCAGGTGGAACTGGCCCTTGTCTAAGATCCTGGAGAGCTGCTGCCAGTTGTTGTAAACCAAGGGTGAGGAGCCTTTTGCTGCACTCCAACTCCCATCAGGCCCAGTCAGCATGGCCAATGAGCAGGAATGATGGGAGTTTCAGTACAGCAGCACTAAGAGGACCACAGATTCTGCATCCCTGGTGCAGACAATACTGAGCTAGTCCAACCAATGACCTGACTCAGTAGAAGTCAGCATCCTGGGACCTTTCCTTGGAGAGTTCAAGATTGCTGTGGCCTAGTAATTTCAGTAGACCTGTTTGCACGGCTGGCGGACATATTGCAATGAACCATTCCAAACTATCAATTGGGGGGCGGGGGATGAGTTAGAAATAGGACGAAAGAGCTTACAATTCGATACAAGCCAGAGAAAGAGGTTGGAAAGTGACAGATTTATAGCATTCATGAAAAGGAGACTATGAAACAATAACAAAAAATGTGGCAAATTAAGACAGGTATGTTGGTTTTTCCACTCTTTCTGAAAGTTTCTTTCTTTCTTTCCGCCCCTCCAATTGAGTTTAATAGAATTCTTGGACTGACAGGATTCTTTTGTTATACCAGGTAATATTTTTGAAAAACAGCATTACCAAAGGTTAAACATAGAACAGATGTAAGTTGTAAAATACAAGCTGATCAAAGCTCAGATTTTGAGACAGAGACGTTAGCAAATGATGATAAATCAATCCCAGTAGAATTGTAAGAAGCAGACAAATGTAACCATGGAAGAGAGAAAGTCAAGGGTTGGATTTTGGGGAAGGGGGTAGTGCCGGAAGAGTAGAAACAAATGCTGGAGTTAATTCTAGACATCCGAGATGGAGAATTGAGCAAACACACAGCACAGAACATGGCAAAGCATGGGTAATATTCTGTAACTAGGTGAACCTTAAAGAAAGGCTCACATATTCTGTGATATAAGCCAGCCTTCCCCAACATGCTGCCCTCCAGATGTTTTAAACTATAACCACTGGCATCCCTGACCATTGGCCATGTTGACTGAGGCTGATGGGAGGGCTTATTCAACATCATCTGGAGGGCACCATGTTGGGGAAGGCTGGTATGCATAGAGCAGTTTGCCCTGGTGCAGCTACTGAAGTGGTCTTCTTCCATTGGCAGCAACAGCGAGTCCATCCTGCAATGTTTGTTTATTTCAAAAAGTTTATACACTGCTTGATTGTAAAAGGGGGGGGGGGGGGCTCAGAGCAGTTTACCAAAGGATAAAACAAAAAAATCAAGAAAAAATCACAACCATACTGTTACACACCAAGAGCGGTGCAAGATCCCAGGAGTTGCAGACGTGCTTACAAGGGTTTGCGTATCCTTTTGGGAATAAGGCATGACAAAGACTGTGGTGTCTTTATGATATATGGTTTTATTTGCACATATATACAACCTGCAATACCTCCTAGATGGAGGTATTGCAGAGCATTCATATCCCATGAGGGTCTGGCTTCCCCCATAAGGGCAGCACTGTATTCAAAGGACAGCAAAAAGCCATCCTCTGTGTCTTATAAAAGCTGATTGTGGAAAACAATCATCTTTCAAAGGCTTGTCTGACTCACACGGTTTTCAATAGACATTTGAGGGTAGTCAGGGAGTTCCACAGGGCAGGACCTTGTAAAGTCCCCTGTAAAGGCTGAGTGA